AAGGCTTGGGACTTCCCCAGCAGGCCACATCCAAGCCTCCGCACGGCTCCCATGCCCCTTCCCATAGGCCCCGCACAGCTCCTGCCCCCCCTCAAATAACCGGAATTTTTAGGTTACCGGCACACCCTAATCCCTGGGCATGCCGGATAACACAGGTTTTACTGTATCTCTCTATATATTTTAGATTGCATCCATCTGGGTGTCTGTCTGTGAGTCCATTACTTCAAGAACTCCTCCTAAACAGTAAGAGCGAGGGACACCAAATTTCGTATGCTGCTTTCTCTTATCCTAACTTAAGCAAAGACAGGGTATTATACTTCCTCCTGCCCCTCCCCCCCCGGGGGGAAAGAACAAGGGTTCCTTGCCAGGAGCCCTTGCCCCCACCGTGTACCAACAACCTCACTGTGCCGGACAGTAGTCTTTTCCAAGGTCCTTCCACTAGTCCACGTATACTCGTACGCCAAGAGGGAAGGGAGACCTGGGCTCTCCCTCACTCCAGATCTCAGCCCAGGACCCTAAGAACAGGCACAATGGCTACCTGTTTGGCCAGTGGGGCCGTACCACAACTCACCGGCCCACGGGCGCTCCTCCGCCCTGTCCTGGGCTCCTTCCTTCCCTCCAGTCCACTTTCACCGCCTCTGCTGTGTCTCAGGTCCAGTACTCCTTGGGCTGGTGGTGTCGTCCCTGAAGTCTGCCTCTCCTCCTCTTCCTCCTTGCCGGCGCTGCTCTCCACCTTGTCCAGCTCTCCTCTCTCCTCCAGCTGCTCCATTCCCCAGCTTTTCAAAGCTGGCGCCCTCAGCTTGGGACGCCGCCGCAGGCGCAGCCCTGCCGCACGGTTTGGGGAATCCCTGCGCATGTACATGAGGCGGCCACCGAGCACTCCCAGCGCAGCCCCTCGCATCCCACGGTCAGCCCCCGCCACCCCATCACACAGGGTTTGATTGTGTCAAGACAACCAAAAGCCCCGAGAGAAGAATGGTTTTCCATAACATGGAACGGGAGGGGCAGCTGTTCCGAGGGACGCACTATGAGTAGTCACTGGGCACAGAGAGCCCACAGGGAAGAGCGACTGCAGGGGGTAGCCATACCACCAAGGGAATGGCCAGCAGGGCTGGGGCTCAACCATCTTGCCTGCCAGTACACTGAGTAAGTAGCTGCCCTGCACCAAACCCTTTCCCTCACTCCCAAACCCTTTCCCTCTCTCCCAGTGGCTGCAGCACTGGAGTGGGGAGGGAAGACAACAGGCCCTGGATGGGCTAAGCGGGGTGGCCTGCGGGGAGGAGGAAAGAACAGGTCAAGGTCAATGGTACCAGGATAATGGTATATATATGGAATGTGATTGTTTTACATCAAATGGAAAGGGAGGGGTGTACAGGCAGGAACAGTTGTACCCACGAATCACTACAGGGGGGCACCAAGTGACCCAGCCCTGGGGAGCAGCTGCTGTCAGGCAGCAAGGTTTCCTTCCACTGACCTGGGCTGGCCCCAGGGAGAAGCTAATGGTCATGCCATATGGTGGCCATCATCTGGGCCAACCCTGGGGAGAAGCCGGCAGGTGGCCTTTGTGGGCCTCTAGAGAGAAGCTGGCAGGTAGCCTGTGTGGGCACTCCCCACTCTGGACTGGCCCAAGGGAGAATTTGACAGGTAGGGTGTGTAGCCTCCCCCTGCTCCAGGCCAGCCCCATGCATTAACTGATGGGTAGGCTGAGTGGCCCCCTGCCCAAAACCAGCTGAAGGGAAAAGCCACTGGGGCAGACCACATGATCCCCACCGCTCCAGGCCTGCTCCAGTCCTTGTTGGATAAGTCTTCTAGAAATAAATATAGCATTTACAGTTCATCTAGGGAAAGTGTATAGTTAGATTAAATCACACTGTAAATATAATAAACCAATCAATTCTCCCAAAAGCTAGTAAAGTTTATCCTTACTTTAAAAATGGGGAAATTGAGTCACAAGGGCTATGCAGCTACATGGAAGATTTTCTGAAATTCACTTATATTGCATCCCCACAGGTGGCAGCAACATTAGGAGCATTAATACAGACATGTTGTCTGCAATGTTCCCTCTAATTTTTTCCATCCATGTGAGGAATACATTTTGTTCTGTGCACCTAATCCCAAGTGCTCAATTTACAGGGAACATTGGCTGCCAGTGCCCTGATCACACAGCTTAAAATTAAAAGCCAACCTTCAGTATCTTATCTGTAATGCATGCACTCACCCTTATTTTCATTAGTGGGACTGTTTTTATGCTAGAACAATAGTGAGGACAATTTGCCTAATGTGTAAGGGGCAGAGCTTAAAACTGCTTTAACTTGAATAGTCTTAGTCTTACAAATGCATTCAATTCAGATGTAAACTAAAAGATTCACTATCAGACAAGAACTGAATTCATTGGTCTGTGTTTCTCCAAAGTAGCTAATGGAAGAACTTGTGACTAAAGAACAGGATTAAGCATGAGGTCTGTATTCTGTTCCTTAGCTATCACTGACATCCTAGGGGTGAGTTAGGCAAGTCTCTTTGCCTGTCTGTGCCTCAATTTCCCTCTTTGTGAAATGGGGGCAATCATCTCCTTTAAGTGTCAAGAAGATTAATCAGTGTTTAGAGGCGTACATCCACACACAGGTATTTATTTAGCCTTTCAATCTCCATTGAAATCAGTTCAAGTTAGAAGCTTGCATACCTCCAAGGATCAAGGCCAGAGACCTTTGTAATCATAAAATGAAGATATCTATGGAAATACCAAGCATTATTATAATATAGTTATAAAGTTCAAAAATAGTATCAGTGGGAGAGATTAACGAGAGACACAAACCATGGGAAAAAAATCACTGACAGCTGAACTGAGCTGGAAGGTCACTATGAAGAAGAAATGCTCAAGGAGGGAGGCTGTTCTGAATTTTGGGAGCTGGAAAAGAAATAATCCTTGCCCCATTCCCAGCTCCCTTTGGAGCTGTTTGTTGTTGTGGTTCTCATTTGGAATTGTCATAGTTTAGGATGGAGAGTTGTTACATACGAAGGTCTGGGATTTGCAGGCAGGAATACAAAGATGCCTGTTTTGGGAAGTCTGTAGCCTGTCTCTTCTAAGCAGAGAGAATAACAGTAGCTCCTCCATGTGCATCTGGATTTTGTTCACAGCAGCTGCTTCACTCACTGGGAAAAACTCTGCGGTTCACGTGTCTCTTCACTAGATGAATAATCAAGGTACTTGTCACTCACTGCTCTCCGCCCCACCTCACCATACAACACATGGGCTCTCTGTACATAGATGGGAGGAGACTGACTTCCATTGGACAGAAGTGTTTCCTACAACACATGTACTGCCACCTGCAAGAACTGAATAGCTGCACTTAAAGGGGAAGAACAGAAACTGACATGGTGAAACCTAATGCATAAAGACTCAAGATGCTGAATGTGGATTCGAATTCAATGGCTATTCCCAAATCTAGCTCTTTTCTGGGAGCCCTCAGGCTAAAGTCCAATGCCAAACTCTGCAGACTAATAGTTTGAGCAAACTGTTGCATGCCTTCCACTGGGGCACTGCAGTCCAGAAGCTGATGGTAAGCTAGGGCTCTTATCTTTGGGCTAGGGCAGGGGTCTCCAAACTTTTCTGCCCGAGGGCCGCATTAACTTTCAAACAGCAGTTCGGGGGCCAACTACACACTTGAGGTCCAAATAAAAAACAATCAAAACATGGATGTTGTTTTTAATTATTTATTTAATATTATTTTATTCAGTTATTTAATAACACATTGATACACTACACATGAACACCTGTATTAGTGTGAATGGTGAAATTGTCAGGGGTCTCCAAACTTTTCAGCCCGAGGGCCGCATTAACTATCAAACAGCAGTTCGGGGGCCGACTACACACTTGAGGTCCAAATAAAAAACAATCAAAACATGGATGTTGTTTTTAATTATTTATTAAAATAGATCCACTGTTTGAAATTGGGGGTGGTGCTTGTCCTAGTCCTGCAGGAGGGGCTCCAGAACGGGGAAACTGCTGAGAACTCATTTCCACCTGCGCAATGTGATGAAAATTGTAAGCAACATAATCCTGGCAATATGTTCAGCCAGAGGCTGTGCCACAGCAACCAGACCGCCTCCTGCAATGGGCACCAGCTCCTCAGCCCCGCCCCCGGAGAAGTAGCCCCTCGCTCCTAGCCCCTGAGAAACCACCGTCGGGTTTCCTCCCCTCCGTCCAGCCTCCCGCGATCCTCTGCCGCCGGGTCTGATCCGGAGCCCGCCTTCGAGAATCCCCTTTTTCGCCCGCCCGGCCAAGCGGCACGCGGAGCCGTCCCTGACCTGGGCTACCTGCTGTCCCGTGCGCGCGCTGGGGCCTCGCGCAGCCGCCTGCGAATCCGCTTCTCCCGCTGACACCAATGCTCGGACTCAAGCTCTCTCCTTCCACCGCCGCAGCCACCCTCCGCCTGATTGGCTCCGGTTGGTGCACGCGGAAGAAGGCGGGGCCAGACAAAAAGGTCTCCACGGGCCGGATGAGAGGGCCTCGCGGGCCGCATCCGGCCCGCGGGCCGTAGTTTGGAGACCCCTGGGCTAGGGGCTTGATGCCAAAACAAGACCCCCACATGGAATGCTAAAGCACTGGTTCCCATTCCCAAACTTTTACTCAGGTGACTCACCAACTGCATTTTGATTTGTGTGTGTGACTTGCCAGGGTCCAAATGAATGGGGTTAGGCCCAAAACCATAGTTCAGCTTCCATCTCTTTCTCCCCTACCCTCCCCCTAGAGGCACCCTCTTCCTCACATACCACAACCGTAATCTGGCCCTGGAGAGCAAACCTACCCCACATATACAGCTCGGCTACATCTAGACTGGCATGATTTTCCGCAAATGCTTTTAACGGAAAAGTTTTCAGTTAAAAGCATTTGCAGAAAAGAGCGTCTAGATTGGCACGGATGCTTTTCCGCAAAAGCGCTTTTTGCGGAAAAGCATCTGTGCCAATCTAGATGCGCTTTTGCGCAAAAAAGCCCCGATTGCCATTTTCGCGATCGGGGCTTTTTTGCGCAAAACAAATCTGAGCTGTCTACATTGGCCCTTTTGCGCAAAAGCTTTGCGCAAAAGGGACTTTTGCCCGAATGGGAGCAGCATAGTATTTCCGCAAGAAGCACTGATTTCAGACAGTAGGAAGTCAGTGTTCTTGCGGAAATTCAAGCGGCCAGTGTAGACAGCTGGCAAGTTTTTTTGCAAGGAAAAACTTGCCAGTCTAGACACAGCCCTCCTGTCTTGTGGGGCAGCACCCAAGTCTCTGTTCTGGATGTCTCCTCTTGGTGCATTGGGATTGAGAACCACTTGGGTTTGGCCCAGCTGCCCTTCCATCATGACAGAGGGTGGCTGGGCCAAAGCTGTTGGATGGCATTGTGACCTGTCACAGGGGATGGCAGCACCACTCAGATGTGACAGGGTAGCTGTGCTGTCACCAAGGGTGATCAGACCAAACCTGAGTGGCAGGGTGAGACCATGCCCAGAGTGGGAGGCTGAGACCAGCTCTGTGGGATCAGAGGCGCTGCTGAGGAGGAGGAGGAGGGTGTAGGTTCAAGCAGCAGCCTCCCCCATCTGGGAAACACTGGCTCTGGTGCCCACGCAGATCCAGGGTCTGACTAAGAGCCTGGCGCCTAGCTGGGAGCCTGGGCACGCTGCAGAGCACTAGGGCGCCGGGCCCCTGGGCTCTCAGGAGCCAGGCCCTGTTGGTGACTCAGGATACAGCATAGCACAGCTCACTTCCCCCAGCCCCTCCCTTTCGCCACAC